TTGTGAACACATCCATATCCCATTTTAGTTTCAGCATCAGAACTATGTTCCCAGTCCTTCTGCACTATCTTTTCCTCACATTTCTTCATTTCAGAAATCCTCTTCTTCCTTCAAGAGAAATGGCTTCTGATCTTAAAATCACTAAAAATATATCAATAGACAATCTCATTTACTGCCTCCATAATCTAGAGCATTCCTAGGTTTTAAGGGAAATCTATTAAATGGAAGAATAGCAAAAACATAAGAACAACTTAAAGGGGATGGCGAAATTTCAGTAATCTTTAACATATATAATTGTATTTCATCCTACCACTAACCACCAAATATTTTATGAACTTAAATTGCACAGAAAAGACTAAAATACTTTAATTATGCATTCAACACAAATATATGGGATCTTAATTATTTTATTTTGTGGCAAACTACTGGCCATCAAAATATTTATTAAATATTGCATCCAAGATCTAGCAATATCCTATCTTGGAAATTTGGGGGATACAATAATAAGATATTTTCCTCATTTAAGAAAACCTATTTGAGACATATTCCATGACAAATTCCTCAGCTATATGAATTCCTAAATTAATTTGCTTTTATATAAGTTGTATATTTAACAATTTTACTTGGACATTTGTGTCTAGCATCTTCAGAACATTCTGCAGGAACAAGCAGGGCAAGGCACAGGCATGTTTTGATATTGAGAACATGTTTTTTGTTTAATCTAAACGTACAGAGATAAGATTATTTTGAATGGGATGAAAGATGTGCTTGTAGACTCCAAGGCAGATTTATCTCATTTATGTTTCATTTGTAGATCTTCATCAAAACTATTTTTGGATCTTCTCCCTTCAACAATTATCTGGACAGTCTCACATTAAGAGCTGGTTCCCTCCCACCAAGGAAATAGGGGAAACAAATGGTTGTAGGAGTGAAGAAGGGCTGGGTACAAATGTATCTCAGAATCCAAAACCATGTATGTTATAGGAATAGGAAGATATTAAATATGCACATTAATTTATTATTATGTATCACAATACTTTCTGAACCAATACTATACTTCCCCAATGTTGATCAATACAGTACATACTACAGGAAAGGAAATTCCACCTGAACATTAGGAAGAACTTCCTGACTGTGAGATCTGTTCAGCAGTGGAACTCTCTACCCCTTCCCCAAGTGTGGTGGAGGCTCCTTCTTTGGAGGCTTTTAAGTAGAGGCTGGATTTCCATCTGACAGGGGTACTTTGAATACGATTTTCTTGCTTCTTGGCAAGGGGTTGGACTGGATGGTCCATGAGGTCTCTTCCAACTCATGATTCTATGATTCTATATACACTAGAAAAACAGAACAAAGCTAAAACCTGACTCTGGATAGTGAAAGCAAACTTCTTGGCTTGCATTTTTTAAAAATGTAATGGCCAGTGGTCTCCCACAAAAGAATTACAATTGCATATGTCTATATACAGTATATAGTAACCTTTGTGTTGAAAACATGACTAATAGTTTTTTCAGTGCAATTTAAGATCATGAATTATGAAAAACTTACTAAAATTCCTATGCTGAAATAGATTTAAATGTGGATGAAGCACAAAATAAAGTGAAAGTACAATAAATGTTTGCTTTTTTACAACATTACAGTTTCCGGATATTACTTTGCTCTGTAATATCAATCTTGTAGCAAATTATTAGAAGAATAAATAAATTTCTTATCCACTCTCCAAAGCAGAAGGAAAGAATTGTAACGCTAAGGGAGAAGCAGTTTAACACTAATTATTTGCTATTGTATATAGAAATCGGTACCACTGATTATTTCCTAAGATTATTATTTCTGATTTTAGTCAGTTAACAATTCTGTAGTAGTGATTCCAACACTGAGGAAAATAGTGGTACCGATTTCTAAATGTAACTGAAAATAAAGTACATTCTCTCATGCACATTTATTATTTTTATTTCATCAGTGCCTTTTTCAGAGAATTCATACAAAGACTTGAGCTTTGTAATTTTTCTTACTCCTATGTGTGCACTTCAGTATACTCAACGTTTGAGTAAATTACGCAAAGAATCAGACTGCATATTATTCACTAAGAACTAAGCTGATAAATCTCAATTGAAGTTTAGATTTTCAGAGTTTCTGTTTTGTGGCTATAATGTGATGATATGTGTTGTGTTTGAAATCACAGAACATCTATATGTCTGTTTATTTAAACTACTGAATATAGTTTATTTTGAGTGCAAGATAGCTTCCTACCTCTGAAGAAGCACTGGCATTTTTTCCTTATCCTCCTAAGAATATGTGAATGAAAATAACTTGGAGAGCTCAGATTGTGGCTACACATCAAAATGCTTTGAAAGGAGAAGATTATATTTACTTCTACCTGAATTTTAACTAAAGAAGTAGTATGGGAGTCTAGATAAAACTGCTGTTCTGACAGGTAACAATTCCTCTAACAGTTAAAAAGAAACCTACTGTTAAAAGTCTGCTGCAGCAGCAAGATCTTTTAAAAACCCTAACTACATGCCTAGCTCTCATCTATGTGCACAGATAACTCGTTCTCAATACTAATTAGATGTTTAAGGGGGGAAAGGGAAGAAGAATCTAGTTTTATTGAAAGAATGATGGTACTAATGAAGGCTCAGAATAAAGAGTATTGACTCCTGTAGTAATGTACATTTTATTTGTTTTCTTTCCAAGATGAAAAGGAGGTAGATATTATGGAGGAGTCTTTGAATGCATGTACTTTCATACAAAAAATAACAATCAGCTATTATCTTTCCTAACAACATTGATGTGGAGGAAACATTATTGAGGGCAAAATGTTCCCTGTCCTGGAAAATAAATGGTAAGAAGTCTTTCATCAGGTAGTCAATGGAATTGAAGTATCTAATATTTGCCTATCAAGCTCAGCATTTTCTTTTCTGACTGGCAACAGCTCTCTAAGGATTCATGAAGAGCACTTTCACATCACTTGGCACCTGATCCTTTCAAGTGGAGTGACAAGGGAATTAACCATAGCTCATTAGTAGAGCACATGCTGTGCGTGGACTAGGCATGTAGAGCATGTGCTCTACAACTGAACTACCATCCTTTCCCAAGAGTGATCATGTCAGTGATTGCCTTCAGTACAATATAGTTTCATTTAAGGTGTTTATGTTCACCTTCACCTTCAGTTTTATGTGATTTGTCTGCCTTTCACTAGCAGAGCTATACATTCATATCGCCATCTGGTTCTGTATAGCCACCTTAATCTTAATTTTCAACTGTCTGTACGTATAAGATATGTATTTATTTAAGATATATCAGCAGGAATATAGTGCTTACTGTTTATTGTTTGCTGAAAACTCTTTCCTTTGTGGAGTGAAACATATTCTGAGCCTCATCTTCACATGATTGGGATCCAGCTGTTTTATACTGACAAGGCAACGCACCGGGCCCTTCCATATCCCTGGACTCTGTGTAATAATTGGAATTTTTCCCACATACAAATGAATATACGAGTAGAACATCCATTTACCACTTAGAAATATGTTTATGAAATTTAAGACAAACAGAGCAAGCAACTTAGTTATAAATTATCATAAAATCTGACCAATACTAACTCTGAGATATTGGCAGCCAAGTTAAATTGGAAATTATGGCAATTGTTTGCCTGTGTCTAGACTAATACACATTATTTTAGGTTCAGCATTCTAGTCAGCCATCAAAAGACTTCCTTTCCTCTCTGACTTTCTTTCCTCTATATTCCGCTCTATCTCCCTCCCTCGGAGAGATAGGACAGAATATAAATAAAGTCTTCTTTCCCAAATGATAACATTACATGGCTACTGAGCATCTATATAGCCATTGGTTTGTCTATAGGACTGAATAACTTGCTTTAAGCTTTGCTTGTAAGAATTTTTATACCTCTGGAAATCTCAAAAATGTCATCTAGGCTTGATCATCCTGCTGTCTTGTTTCTCACAAGGTTTGGGTTATTTCTGCTTCTGCATTTGCTATCCAAATTTGCTATTAGAGATAATTATTTAAGACATTTTAACAACACTATACACTAGTATAGTGGCAGATTTTGGGTGGCATTGCAACTATATTTAAATGGATAGGGCTTATTGAGGGCCCTTCCAGACAGGCCTTATATCCCAGGGTCTGATCCCAGGTTTTCTGCATTAAACTGAATTATATGAGTCCCCACTCCTAGATAACCTGGGATAAACAGAAAACCTGGGATCAGATCCTGGAATATAAGGCCTGTCTTACTGCAGTTCTCTTGTCCAAGAAAGCCATCAGCTATTCAGTTTAGGAAACACCATGGGGGAAAAACCTGCAAGATTTCCATCTTGAGTGAATAAACTTCTTTTTGATCTCTGTGTAGGAAGTAGGAGAAGAGATGAAACGTATAAGGCGGGGGAAAATGAAAGACTGCTTAGATGTAGGAAACAATGAAGCGAAAAGAACAAAGATATACTCAAGGAGAAGGAAACAAACAGGAAGTGTGATGTGACGAAAGAGCAATTATCTGAACAGAAAATATCACAAGGCTAAAGCAAGAATAATCTCTCCACTGTATCATGGGTTTGGTTAGTTGCCCTTGTGCATTGATAACGGAGCCTATGTTCTAGACTGGAAGGGCTGCTGAAGTTTGTATAAACCTAAACATGAGGCTGGCTCTCATAATAATATTTACTGAAAATTAAGGCCTACTTAACAAAGTGGGATTTGCTTCCATGTCCTAATACAAAAGACTGAACCGTTAGAATGGTATAAACCCTTAAAATGATTGCTGCCTATTAAGCAATCATTATGTAGATCACGGAATAGGACTAATAAAGATGTACCCACATGGCAAAAGGCTCAATTTGAGATGTATTACAGGATCCTTTACCATTATACCTGACCCCTTTGAGGTCCAAATCTGCTGTTTTTTTGCAATTGCGTCTTATATACCCTGACATCATGAATAGAATATCCAATGTTTCCAGATTTTACTATGAAGAGACCACAGAGACTTTGTAGCATTCAACTTAAAATGCTTTTATTGACAGTGTCTTGAACAGTAAGCGAACAATGCTTAAATTTTATCCAAATTCACTATCCACATGTCAATACCTCAAGGTAGAAAAAAACAAACAAAAATAAATAAATATCCATAAATAAATTAAAAGCACAATAAACGTTTTCATGGAAAACTTATGTCAAAACCATTCGGACCACTTCAACAATGTATGATCAGTTAAAGTTACAATGAACATTGATATACAAGGAGAACTATTGTACATGGACAACATAGCTATTGATTGATCTACTAGAAAATAAAAATAGTCTCTCTTTTATGTTTTATTCCCCCGCAGTTAAAGTCGGGTAATTGCTAAGTCATCAAAATCACGATATTGCCAGGAACACAGTAGTTATTGTTAAATCAGCTGCACTAGATAACAAGTTGTGAAGGATACCCAGCACCATATTAAAAAAATTCCAATCATTAAACCAACAGATTAATCAATTAGTTAATTAATGCTAGTGAAGAGGGGAGGGGAGGGAGTCACATGACCCTTACTGACATTGACCACTGAATGCAGTTTCCAAATGGTGTTGAAGAAAGTGGTTTTGCTGTGCAGAGACTTGCCACCAAAACTATAAATGGTCTGGAAGCCAAGCCTTATGAGGACTGGCTGTAGGTGCTGGGCCTGTTTCGCTTGGAGAAAGGAAGCCTGAGAGAAGGGGACATGATAGCCATGCTTAAATATTTGAAAGGTGGTCACATTGAGGAGGGGGCAGGCTTGTATTCTGCTATCCTAGAGATTAGGATACAGAGCAATGGATCCAAACTGGAGAAAAACAAGTTCCTAACAGCCTCTGGCCCTTTCCTTTCCCCCCTCAGCAGAAAAGGAGACGAAAAGGCTTGAGGCTGTTAGAAATGGTGGGAGTTGAAGTCCAAAACACCAGCAGGCCTTCAAGTTTGCCCGTGTCTGGTCTAAACATTATGAAGAGGTTTCTGATGAGCTGTTTGACAACAGGATATGCTACCTGGGAGTCTGGTGGAGCCTCCTTCTCTGGAGGATTCTATCTGAACATGAGGAAGAACTTCCTGACTGTGAGAGCTGTTCAGCAGTGGAACTCTCTGCCCCAGAGTGTGGTGGAGGCTCCTTTTTTGGAGACTTTTAAACAGAGGCTGGATGGCCATCTGTCGGGGGTGCTTTGAATGCAATTTTCCAGTTTCTTGGCAGGGGGTTGGACTGGATGGCCCATGAGGTCTCTTCCAACTCTATGATTCTATGAGAAGCTGGGTGTGTCGTTGAAGGCTTTCATGGCCGGAATCAAAGGGCTGTTGTAGTTTTTTCAGGCTATATGGCCATGTTCTAGAATATGAGCATATAGCCTGAAAAACCTACAACAACCAGAAGTTGAGTGGCCATCTGCCAGGAGTGCTTTGAGTGGAGATTCCAGCCTAGCAGGGGGTCAGACCGGATGACCCTTGAGGTCTCTTCCAGTTCTAGGATGACATAGGAATGAGGCTCAGGGGGCAAGGAGACAAACCACAGGGCACCAAGGGGGAAGTCAACTGCATTCAAGGGTCAGTATGGATGGGCCCAAGGGCGGTCCTATTGCCTCGCGATGGAGCCAAAGCACAACAGCTTAAAGCAGGCATCCTCAAACTGCGGCCCTCCAACTCCCAGAAGCCCTAACGAGCTTGTTCAATTGTTGAAGGTCCAAAGAGCTGGAAGGCCGCAGTTTGAGGACGCCTGGCCTAAAGAAACGAACCCGCGTTGGCTTTTCAATGAGACAGACCAGGTCCTACTTTTCGCTCCGTGCTGAACATGCTACCAAAAAAAAAAAAAAAAAACCAACAAGAGTTCTTATGGAGGATGGAGAGGTTGAGGAAGGACGAGACGTGTCATAATAATCAGTATATTCCATGCGGTTTTTGCTACATCTCCGGAAGAAGTCGCCACGAGTCCCACTCCGGGCGGGCCCCAAAGGCGCACTCTCCAAAAGGGGCCCTTTGCCCCCCACTCTCTTTCTCCTTGGCTTCCCGGGCCGCGGGTGGGAGTGGGAAGGAGGCTTCGTCAAGAGGAGGAAGAGGAGAAGCGCCGGGGACGGTCAATCTCCCTCTTATTTCTCTCTTTCTCTCTCTCTGGCGCGCTCACAAGGCCAGCAGGGTGGGCGAGCTGAGCGAGTCGGAGGACGAGTTGGGCTCGTTGCTGCTGCTGCCCTTGCGGTGGGCGGCGGCGCAGGTGGGGAAGGGCAAGGGCTCGGCCTCCGGGTAGGTGAAGATGAAGGAGGAGGAGTAAGAGGAGGCGCACGGCGTGCAGGCCACCACCGGCGTGCAGAGCGGCTCCAGCATCATCTCCGACGCCGCTGACACCGCCGCAACCCCTGCCGGGTGGGCCCCGGGCCCCATCGGCTCCCAGTCCGCCGCGTAGAAGGAGGAAGACGAGCCAGACAGGTCCACGTCCGGCACCGAGCGCGAGGAGGAGGAGCGCGCGAAGAAGTCGTCGAAAGGCTCCGACTTGAGCTCCAGCAAGTTGTTGCTGCTGTTGCTGTTGCCGCTCTCCTTGGCAGGCTCGGCTCGGGGGGCCTCCGGAAGAAGCGGCAACGCGAACGCCTCTTCCTCATCCTCTTCCTCCTCGTCCTCCCCCATTTCCTGGGGCGAAGAGGCCACCGAGTGGCCCCCAGCCAGCAGCTCCAGCGCGGATACGGAGGCCACAGCCATCTCCTCCGGGAAGCGGAGCTCTTCGGGCACCTTGCAGGCCGGGCGGTGGGCAGCCAGGATGAACTCCAGCTTCTCCTTCTCCTTCAGCAGGTTGGCGATCTCGGTCTGGAGGGAGGCCTTCTCCTCCTCCAAGAGGTCGGTCTCCTGCAGAGAAGAGAGAGAGTCAGGCAATGGAAAGAGAGAGGCAAAGAGAACATCTGAAGGACAATAGGTTGTCAAAGGCTTGCATGGCCGCAATCACTGGGTTGTTGTAGGTTTTTCGGGCAGAATAATAATAATAATAATAATACTTTATTTACACCCTGCACTCATCTCCCCAAGGGGACTCAGGGCGGCTTACATACAACAGTACAGCAAAGCATACAGTAAAATATAATAAAAAATAAAAATAAAATACGAAACAATATAAATGTATAGCCATGTTCCAGAAGCATTCTCTCCTGGCGTTTTGCCTGCATCTATGGCAGGCATCCTCAGAGGTTGTGAAGTCTGTTGGAAACTAGGAAAATTGAGTTTATGTCTCTGTGTAAGGTCCAGGGTGGGAGAAAGAACTCTTGTCTGTTGGAGCTAAGTGCAAATGTTTCAATTGGCCACCTTGATTTGATGACCTGACAGTTTTTAGGTGTCGCTTGTTACTGCCTGGGGGAATCCTTTGTTATGTGGTTCTGAGGATGCTTGCCACAGGTGCAGGCGAAACGTCAGGAAAGAATGCTTCTAGACAGGGGTCCTCAAACTTTTTAAACAGAGGGCCAGGTCACAGTCCCTCAAACTATTGGAGGGCCGGAATATAATTTGAAAAAAACATAATTTGAATTCCTATGCACACTGCACATATCTTATTTGCAGTGCAAAAAGCACTTAAAAACAATACAATAATTAAAATGAAGAACAATTTTAACAAATATAAACTTATTAGTATTTCAATGGAAAGTGTGAGCCTGCTTTTGGCTGATAAGATAGGGTTGTTGTTGTTGTGTGCATTCAAGTCATTTCAGACTTAGGTTGACCCTGAGCGAGGACCGGGTAAATGACCTTGGAGGACCGTATCTGACCCTTGGGCCTTACTTTGAGGACCCCTGTTGTAGAACATGGCCATACAGCCCAAAAAAACCTACAACAACCCATCTGGAGGACTGTGAAAAGGCCTAGGCATGGGCAAACTTCGGCCCTTGTGTTTTGGACTTCAATTCCAGGCTGTTAGGAATGGTGGGAGTTGGAATCCAAAACACACTAGGAGGACCGAAGTTTGCCCATGCCTGGGGAGAGACAGAGAGAACCTCTGGAGGACCAGAAAAAGGCCTAGAGAGGAAAGACTCACCGATTGCAAGGTGTCAGTCAGCTCACGTCTTCGGTTGCGGCACTTAGCAGCTGCCATCTTGTTCCTCTCACGGCGAATTCGCCGCTTCTCTTCCTCTTCTGGCGTCAGCTGCAAAAAGAGGGAAAATAGAGCTGTCAGTCTCCAGAAAGAAAGAGATATAGCTCAACTCTACTTCATATTTGACTCCTAGGGCAGTGGGAGTGCATCTACAGCAGGTATGGGCCAACTTGGGTCATCCAGGAGTTTTAGACTCCAACTCCCACCATTCCTAACAGCCTCAGGCCCCTTCCTTTCCCCCCTCAGCCGCTTAAGCGGCTGAGGGGGAAAAGGAAAGGGCCTGAGACTGTTAGGAATGGTGGGAGTTGGAGTCCAAAGCCCCTGGAGGACCCAAGTTTGCTCAAACCTGCTTAGCAGCTCCTCCTGCAGGCGTGCTGTCTCTCTGGACCCACCTGCTCGACTTTGCCTCTGCGCCCAATGCTGGTCCCTCTGCTGGCTGCTTTGACCAGCCCTGCCCTGGCAAAGGCTCCCGTCTGCGGGGCGGGCAGGCCGTAAGGGTGGCTGCGGTTCTGGGAAGGAGCCACCGAGGAGATGAGCGTAGGCTGGACCATCCATTGCAAGTCCGGGCTGGTGGAGATGGCCGTCACCGTGGGCACGAAGCCCGCGCTGGAACCCGAAAGGTCGGCGCAGAAGTCCTAAGGGAGGAGGCAAAGCAAAAAGGTCAGAGTCTCCAGAAACGCTATTTGGAGCCGCGAGGCCACCGTCGCCCGCCATCGTCAGGCTCCGCACGAGCGAACGGGGCTCAGGCTATAAATATCTCTGACGTCCGCGCTGACGCAAGCGCCGCTCCGGAGTCTCCTGAATGGAGCCGCGTTTTTATCAATGGAGCCGCTTTTTACGCGCGCGCCGAGAGCGCCCCCGCCCCTTCCCCATTCATCTTTTTTTTTTCTTTCGCGTGTCAGCAGGGGAAGAAAAAAAAAAAGAAAACGCCAATCACCCGCGCCCCTGCCTCTATATAACCCCATACTGAGTGGTGCCTTCTTCTGAACAAAGGGAAAGATGTAGGGCGATACGGGAGATAATAATAATCATATTACTATTAATAATAAATGTCATTTGTTATTATTCCTCCCCTTAAGACTCGTCTATACCTTCTGTAAGATTATATATTTAGTTCTATGGCAAATGATGCCTTTTCTGAACAAAGGAATTGGGAATATATAGGGCACGATTATTATTATGTATTATATTATAATATATTAATATAATAATATAATATTATATATAACATAATGAAATAATATAAATATTATATCATATTGGTATATTATTATGATTATATATGTAGTATTATATATAATATAATGATATAATATAAATAATATAAATATTATATCCTATTGTTATATTATTATATATGTATATATTATATAATATTATTATATTATTATATTATATTGTTATTTTATTAATACTATATTACTATTCTATCCCCTTCTAAAGGACACTCAAACGACAAGACAGGAGCATACATCCTAACAGCCTCAGTAAGATAATATTATCATATTATTCTTCTATCACCTTCTAAAGGGGACTCAAGCGACAAGAAAGGAGCATACATCCAGTAAGTCAATATTATAATATATTATTTAAGTCAATATTATATTATAATATGATAATATATTATTTTATTATTATTATCCTAACCCCTTCTAAAGGAGACTCAAAGCGAAAGACAGGACCATACATCCAGTAAGATTATATTATTATATTATATTATTATATTATATTATAATATTATATTATATTATTATATCTCCTTCTAAAAGAGGCTCAAAGCGAAAGACAGGACCATACATCCAGTAATATTATATTACATTATTATTCTTCTATCCCCTTCTAAAGGGGCTTCAAAGCAAAAGACAGGACCATGCATCCAGCAAGATTATATTATTATATTACATTATTATATTATATTATTATTCTATCCCCTTCTAAAGGAGACTCAAAGCAACCAGACAGGAGCATACATCCAGTAAGACAATAGTATTAATAGTAATAATAATATTTAATGTTCCATAAGGCTATATATCCATCAAGCATCCAATAAGGAAACATCAGCTCTTTGGAGTCCGAGCGATGAAGGGAGAATGGACCTACTTCGCCTGCCTTTCAAGGCGCCCCATCCAACCCCAAAAATCTCTTCCCCGCGTCCTTCTCTCGCTCACCTGCCCGTTGACAGGCGATCCCATGCTGGAGAAAGAGTCTGCCGGAGACGGGTAGTAGGTGAGGCTGTCCCCCGCCGGAGAAGCGCTGCTGCAGCGGGAGGAAGCGGCGTCGTAGTCGGCGGCGAAGCCCTGGTACATCATCTCGGGGATTGACACAAACCCTTCCGTGTCCTTTCGGGGCGGTGTAATTCTCCCGAAAGAAGCGCCTCTCGGAGTGGCAAAGCCCGTCGTCGTTGTCGTCTGCTGTGTCTGCTCCCCTCACTGCCTAGTTCTGCTTCTGGAGTAAAGAGAGCGGTACCTCCGCCTTTTATCCTCTTGCGGTGGGACTTCTGAATGAACGGACGTCACGATTGGAAGGTTCCACCTCGGCGGGGGGAGGCGGCGAGAGAGAGGCGGCGGAGGGACGCCCCGAAATGTGTTTCTAAAGCGTGCTCGTTGCTCTCCTCGGCGACAAACCCTGACGGCGGCGTCGGGATGATTGCCTGGAGCGTCCTCCGCGGCGGGCCGCTTTTAAGAGCCGGGCGCCGCGTCAGGCTCCGCCCCCGCTCCCGAAATGGTTCGGCCCAGGCTCGGGAACCCACTGACGTAAATATCCTTATATGGCATACATCCTGTCCAAGAGGGGTGTGACTGCCGGGAAGCGCTCCAGGGCTGCGGCCAAAAGGGCTGGTGCGTGCCTGTGGCGACGGCTAGGGGGAGCGAAAGCGGCAAAAGCCGCAGCGACGGGTTCTGCATGCAGATGCTGCCCGCTTTAGTGCTGACCAGACACCCGAGGAGTGGCGCCTTAAAGGGACAGAGCCCCAATTGTCCGCCAGAGCAGAGGTGGACGACCTTTGCAGGGTTTGGCCACACACAGGTCGATTTCACCTTAAAGGGTTTTAAAACCATATCCTATATAGGACACAGAATCATAGAATCATAGAATCCTTGAGTTAGAAGAGACCTCATGGGCCATCCAATCCAAGAAGCAGGAAAATTGCTCCCGACAAATAATAGTCTAGCTTGCTGTTGACCTATGCAGCCCGAAAGACAGTTGCATCTGTCAAGTAAGAAATTTAGGTATCACTTTATGCGTTCTCGTGACTCTCCTCTGTTACAAACCCTGCTGTTGACCTATACAGCCTGAAAGACAGTTGCATCTGTCAAGTAGGAAATTTATGGTATCGCTTTATGCGTGCGCGTGGCTCGCCTCGGTTACAAACCCTGCTGTTGACCTATGCAGCCCAAAAGACAGTTGCATCTGTCAAGTAGGAAATTTAGGTACCGCTTTATGCGGGGAGGCTATTTTAACGCATTTACAATGCCATAAAACCTTCCAGCAGTGTGCAGAAGAATGAGGAAGTACTCCATCAAGGACTCCGTGTCACAAGTGGATGGTGAAGCAGCAGCTCCCCCTGTTGCCGGAATCGAGCATATCCTCATGAAGCCGAAAAAGCTGGAATGTTAAATTGCCTCTGTGTCTGTCTCTATATGTCATATGTCCAAATGGCATTGAATGTTTGCCATGTATATGTGCATTGTAATCTACCACCTGAGTCCCCTGCGGGGTGAGAAGCGCAGAATATAAACACTATAAATAAATAATAAGCAGGAAAATCGCATTCAAAGCACTCCCGACAGATGGTCATCCAGCCTTGTTTTAAAAGCCTCTAAAGAAGGAGCCTTCACCACACTCCAGGCCAGAGAATTCCACTGCTGAACACCTCTCACAGTCAGGAAGTTCTTCCTCATGTTCAGGTCCCCTCGTTCTCCTTCCAAAAGAGAAAATAATTGGATGTCTCTCATACATCATGGATATTGGGAGTGTGGAGCTATAGAAAGGCTTCCAATGATTACTAACTGCACCAAAACACATTATAGACAAGGCATGGGCAAGCTTGGGCCCTCCCTCTAGGTTTTTTGGACTCCAACTCCCACCATTCCTCACAGTCTCAGGCCTTTTCCTTTCTCCTCACAGCCGCTTAAGCGTTTTGGACTCCAACTCCCACCATTCCTCACAGCCTCGGGCACTTTCCTTTTCCCCCTCAGCCGCTGAGTTGGAGTCCAAAACACCTGGAGGGAGGGCCCAAGTTGCAAGCAACTAACTCCCTTTGCCATGTCTCATATCTGTCTTTGGTATGCTGAGCCAAGGTTCAATATGAGTACATAGCCACACCATTTCCAGTTTGGGTCAGCAATGTCAAGCTTACAGACATTTTCCCCCCTAACATGAGTATTAGTAATTGTGATACCAGATTGAAAATATGAGCAGATGCCTCCATTCATTTATACAGGTCCCATTGCTGCTGCTGTTTTTGTTTTGGCTTTAAATAATCTCCATCTATTTAGATCTCTGTATCATAACCCACTGGTGGTGCAGCAGGTTAAATCACTGAGCTGCTGAACTTGCTGACTGGAAGGTCGGCAATTCAAATCTAGGGAGTGTGGTGAGCTCCCACTGTTAGGCCCAACTTCTGCCAACCTTCCTGTTTGAAAACATGCAAATATGAGTAGATCAATAGGTACTGCTTCTGCGGGAAAGTAATGGCACTCCATGCACTCAGATAAACCAGTTCAAAGCAGATATTGTGGGATCTTCTGCCCTGATATTCTGGGTTATATGGTTGTGTGGAAGGGCCCTGGGGCCTCCAATACAACTCTGTGGTCAGCTTCTGCCAGAAGTTGACTATAAAGTTACACCAGGGGGCCAGGCCCGTAGCCAGGATTTTGATTCGGGGGGGGGGGGGGGGGGGGGTCAGAGAAAGAGGGTCTACCCTAGCAAACCTTTTGTATCGTTACCCCAATACCCCCATGCATATGGGATATATTGAGCATGGTGATCAGATCATGATATGAATAAACATAACAGTTTAAATAATGCACCAGTAAGGCCTTTTCGCGAACCACCATGAGAATTTCGGGGGGGGGGGGCTGAAGCCCCCCAAGGCCCCCCCCCCCCCCCCCCCCCCCCCGGCTACATGCCTGCTAGGGGCCCATCCACACAGCCATACAACCCAGAATATCAAGTCAGATATTCCACAATATGTGCTTTGAACTGAATTATCTGAATCCACATTGTTATATAATCCAGTTAATTGTGAATTTTATACTGCTGTATGGAAGGGGCCTAGGATTTGAACCACATCGTATGGTCAGTGTAGACCCCCTATAATGCAGTTTGAACTACATTATATACAGTGACAGCATTATATGGCAGTGTAGATCTTGCTGTAACATGGGCCCTTCCACACATCCCTATATCCCAGAATATCAAGGCAGAAAATTCCACAATATCTGAGTGTGGATCCAGGGCCCTTCCACAGAATATCAAGGCAGAAAATTCCACAATATCTGCTTTGAACTGGGTTATCTGTGTCCACACTCAGATAATGTGGGATTTTCTGCCTTGATATTCTGAGATATAGGGCTGTGTGGAAGGGCCCCTATTAAGCAAATTTGTTACTAATAAAAACTGATTAGCAAAGCTGTTTATACTATGGTGTATTGTGTTGTTCTTATTATGTTGGTTTCTCTGGATATCGCAATAGAACAACAGCACAGAAATTAATGGTGAGGATGACTTCTTCAGACGTAGGCAAATATATCTTGGGAAAGGCACCCATAGAGAAGATTTATTTTCTTTTTCATTTGGGACTTTTCATTTGAACCTTTCTAGGACAAAGGTGAGCAATGACACACCTCCCAATGTGGTTGAACTGCAAGTCCCAGTTCGGCACAGCCAGTGGTGAGAAATGCTGGGAGTGGCAGTCTGGGTTAAAATGAAAAGCAGGTCTAATTAAAGGGAATCCCCATCTGACATCGCAGAGGCTGTTCAAGTTCATGCAAAGGGAAAATAAATCACTTAGGCAGAGTTACGACACTTGAGTTCATTTCCAGCTGGCTCAGCATTTTACCTGGTATTAATCATGCATTCAGATGCAGGTGAAAGGACGGCAGCAATCTCTCGCATGCCATTTGCTCAAACAGTGATGGTGCAATTCTTAGCTCTGGGGGTTCAAACCCATTTCTGAGGTCACAGGGGACTCCAAAAACCCTGTTTATGTAATACCTATAATTAGGCTGACCGAAAGGTGATTGAGGCTCTCATCTACACTGCCATTAAATGCAGTTTCAGAATGCAGATGAACTGCATTGAACTGGATTATAGGACAGTGTCGACTCATACCATCCAGTTCAATCTGCATTATATGGCAATTTATGGGACCTGTCAGACTGGATCTACACTGCCTAATATTGTAGTTTGAACTGGATTATGTGGTCAATGTAGACCAGGCATGGGCAAATTTTGGCCCTCCAGGTGTTTTAGACTTTGGCCCCCATATTATAAAGATAGTCGAAAGGATAGAAATAGTCTCAGCTTCCAATTGCAGACAGTAACATCACATCATGTAGTCCAAGTTTCCAGTATGCCTGAAAACATTACCAAAGCAGCCACTAGTTGGAGAATGTTTGCTGATAAGAAAACAGACTTTTGAGTCACACAGAACACTTTCTTGAATGATAGGAAACCTCGGGAAGCTATCCAGGGTATTGTCTGAGCTGCGCCCACACTGCAGAATTAGTGCAGTTTGATACCACTTTCAACTGCCATGGCTCCAGTTCAAGTGGAGTCAAACTGCATTCATTCTACAATTCTACTCCAGCCGGTTTCCAGTATGCCTGAGAACATCACTGAAGTTAGGCACTAGTTTGGTTCAGAAGATGCATGTTGTATAAGAGTGAGATTTAATGTTTTTTAACAAATTTTAATAGGTTTTTGGTGACTTGCGTGGTTTTAATTATCTATTTTTAATAGTCCTAATTTAATGTTTATGTGTTTAGGTTTTAAATTGTATATTGTATCATTTTTAGCATTGTCAGCAGCTCTAAGTGATGAGGGAAAAAGTGGGCAATACATAATAACAATAATAATAATAATAATAATAATAAGTAACTATGTATTTGAAAAAAATATATTTCTGGTTTGAAAGTGTTATTTCCTGTTTAATTGTGTTGTACTTGCTTTGAAAGTAGTTGTTACTGTCATATACTAGGTCAGGAACACCTTTTCACCCAGCCTTTATTGGCTTTTGCCAGAGTCTTTGCAATTCTATCTTTAAATCCTGATATCAGTCAGCTTTTACAGTTGCTTCTCCTCAATCCTGCTGTTGCCTGGGATTGCAACATCTATGAACCATACTTTTTTATCCCCACAATTGTGAGGTCAGGAGTATTATGCTCCAAAACTCTGTCAGTCTAAATTTTGAATAATAATAATAATAATAATAATAATAATAATAATAGGATTTAAAGATCGAACTGCAAAGACTCTGGCACAATCCAGTAAAGGTGGTCCCAGTGGTGATCGGCACACTGGGTGCAGTGCTTAAAGACCTTGGCCTGCACTTAAACACAATTGGCGCTGTCAAAATGACCATCTGCAAGCTGCAGAAGGCCACCTTACTAGGATCTGCACACATTATTCG